GCAAATAAAAATTGCATTGATAACATTGTAACTGATAAAAAGTATACTAGCTCACGACTTTTACTTGGATCACTTTCATTTATTATATAGCTCTGCCAGTATCCTTCTGATTCTCTCTCTTGAAGGATCTTCTACAAAGGTTGTTAACACAAAGGTTTTCAAAAAAGGGGCAAATAAGAAATAAGAAAGTCCTGACAACCCTAACTCCAAACTAATATTAAGTCGTATACAATACAAAAAGCGTTGGGGCTGAGATGGGTGAAATATTTTTTTGGATGCACCTGGAGGGACAGGTAAAACCTTCTTGACAAACTTATTGTTGGCAAAAGTTCGAAGTTAAAAAAAAATAGCCCTAGCTGTAGCATCTTCCGGTATAGCTGCTACCCTGCTCAATGGAGGTCGAACTGCTCATTCTACATTTAAACTTCCTTTGGATTTAGTTAATTTAGAAGCACCTCATTGCTCTATTTCAAAGCAATGTAATATGGCTGCGGTGTTTAAAGATTGTAAGTTAATTGTTTGGGATGAGTGCACAATGTCACATAAAGGTGGGCTTGAAGCCATAAATAGAACCCTGCAAGATATTAATGAGTACTATGTTAATGGGTGGTATTACAGTCCTGCTAGCTGGAGACTTTCGCCAAACCCTTCCTGTTGTGCCAAGAGGTACAAGAGCTGACGAAATAAAGGCCTGTTTAAAATCTTCATTTTTATGGCCACAGATAAACAAACTAGCGCTCACGAAAAATATGCGAGTGCACTTAAAAGGAGACAGTTCTGCAGGAATTTTTGCCGAAACTCTTTTAAAAATTGGGAATGGCGTCCATCCAACAGCTGATGGAAAAATAGTTATAACATCACGCTTAGGAAATGTAGTCAAAAAAGTTCAAGACCTTACATCCAAAATATTTCCAACATATCATGTAAAAGCTTAGATTGGCTATCTGAGCGCGCCATTTTGATAACGAAAAATGAAAGAGCAACCACTATTAATAATTTATTGCAAAACTCATTTGATGGTTTAGAAGTCTCCTATAAATCGGTCGACTCTGTTCCTGATGCCGATAATGCTGTTCATTACCCTGTTGAATTTTTAAATTCCTTGAATCCTCCAGGAATTCCTCAGCATAATCTGTCTCTTAGGATTGGAGCACCCGTAATGTTATTGCGAAATTTAAGTCCCCCAAAGTTATGCAATGGGACACGATTGCAGATAAAAGGTCTTCATAAGAATGTAATCGAAGCAACAGTATTTACGGGGTGCGCGAAGGGGGAAACAGTGTTTATACCCAGGATCCCATTAATACCATCCAGTCTGCCGTTTCAGTTTAAAAGGCTACAATTCCCTCTAAAAGTTTGCTTTGCAATAACTATAAATAAATCGCAGGGGCAGAGTTTGAAGCTGGCTGGACTAGATCTTAGAGAAGATTGCTTCTCTCACGGACAATATTATGTCGCATGCTCTAGAGTTAGCTCTGCCAGTAGCCTTATTATTCTCGCTCCTGAAGGATCTTCTAAAAATTTTGTTTACACAGAGGTTTTAAAGTAATCATATTAATTAACATTATTAAACCTAGAAAGTTTCAAGTGGAATAGGTCTAATTGGAGATACCAAATTAAAAAAAACGAGCCAATTTCTCTACCTCAGGGGTGGTGTGGAATTGGGAAAGTCTTGACAACCGTACTCAAAACTAATTTTAAGCGAACGAAGTCGCGCCGGGTACAGCTAGTTTAGATATATATCGGTAATACCGACTTCCCAAGCATCGTTCATATCTTCAGGAATATTTACAATGTCAGTAAATGCACATTTTACATTATCAGGAAATACATTTAGTGAATCATTGCTGAGCAATGTGATAAACATCTCATATAAATACCCCATTTCTGAAATTTACCTTTACAATTATTGGTATGACGTCCAATTTAGTTTGTTTTTCCCTATTTGTACAGAATTTTTAACCGATCGATTCAACTTTTCACGCCCTGTTACATAAGCAAGATTTTGAAATGGAGATGGTTCCTCTTTATATTTTTTTAGGTTTACTCTTAATTTGCGTTGTTTTGCATTAAGCTTCACTTTTGTAACTGCCATCTTCTTAATATCTTCTTTAGTATCACCAAAGGAAGTATTCCGAATTTTTCGTTTGTTATCATTTGCTTCCGAGTTTAAATCTTCATCACTTTCAGATGGTAAATCTGGTAACTCAACCTTTTTTGGTAGTGAAGAGTCAATTTTTAATTTTAATCCTGAAGTACTAGGGTTTGTATCAATCCAATCAGTTGTTTGAGATTCATTAGTTTGAGTTGAGATAGAGGGTGCTTTTTGTTCATTTGATACATGCCATAATTTATTACGTTTTAAATTTTGGTAGTAAGACAATTCTTGACGAATTTTAATCCATTTGTCGAAATCACTTATTTTGTTATCATTTAAAATTGGTAAACATTTTAAACTTATTAATTCATTCCCCCTGTCATCGCTTATTAATTTTTGATAGGCGTTGGGGGTCATCAAAATGACTTTGTTTAAATGATGTTTATTTTTAAGCATGGTTTAATATTTTTCCGAAAATTCCAGAAAGCAATGAATTTATAAGAATTGGTAAAAATCCTCCTTTTTGAACTAGAACTTTTCTCTTGGAATTTAATGTGCGTTTTGGACAGGAAAGGTAGCGTAATACTTTTTTATACTTTTTGAGCGCTGTTAGATGTGTTTTTGTAACCTTATGATTTCCTTGCAATGTATTTAATACGATCTCTACTAATGTTTTAACTAACTCACTATCGCTATTACTTATAATTGCCTTCCGTAGTTTGTTGTTAGCCTTTTTGAGCACATACAATATATGTTTGTTCGCTTTTAGACGACTTAGATTCTTTTTGTAAACCATTTTCCTCTGAATAACACACTGTATATTCGGAATTAAAAATGTTAGTTCTAAATCTTAAGAGATCGTTGATTCCTTGAGTCATCAATAAGTAAATATCCATGAGGTTGCTCCGTAACTTCCTTATATATTCTAAATAGTTCTGCGGGATTTTCACGATAAATTTTGTCTTGCTAAACATTGAAATTGAAGCTTATCACGGGGGTTTTTAAAAGCAACAATATATTTTGTATTTAGTGAAATATCTCTGGTATGTGATGATTTATGAAATATATTTTGAGTTACAACTACAACAGATAAATTTCTATGGTGCGATCCTTTCGTAAACAGTTCACACACATTTTTATTAAATGCCCCCATCATCAAATCATCCAATATTAAAAGAATAGGTTCATTAGTTTCGTTTTCAATTGTTTCGGGGACTCCTTTATAGTACTCAACATTATTAAAATTAGGTTTAGCAGTATCCTCTCCATAACAGCAAATAATCCGATATATGGCAACATTTAGCAAATAATTCTTTTTATTTATTTGATTTTCTAAAAACGTTGTTTTTCCGGATCCTGAAGGTCCGCAAATTAACAATGTGAAGGGATGTATGAATTGTGTAAACATTTTATTATTTTATATATATTTTATTAATATATCCTTAAATTACATAATTATTATTTTGATTTTTCCTGGTCACGTTTTCGAAATGAGTGTCAGATCCGCAATAATTACAATAAATTAGTTGAGTGTATCCCCTTCTGCGGGGGTCATTACCAAACAAATTCTTAAAGGTATCCATTTAATAAGACAACCTCTTAGTTCGACTATAATTTTTTTACTGATAATCAAATATATATGTTAGGATTACAATATACTTCATAATTTGAGTTTTCTAAGATTACAAATAGTTTAAACAAATTATTTAATGAACATCTAAGAGGAATTTTTTTCGTGTGGATTTTACAATTGGTGAAAAAATTTGGAAGCTGTGCTAAACTTCTTCCAATGTCAATATCGATAATGGTTGTTGATAAATATTTACTTAAAAAAATGTTTTTTAATTTCACCACGTACGATAATTGCACTATACTTATTAAGTGGTGAAAGTATTTCTTCTAGACATGTATATGGTATATCTCCAGCTGACCAATCCAATCCATTAATATTCTGTCGATTTAAGTGTTGCTGTTTAATTGTTTCATTCTCCAATTCCTTTATGTTGAATGGTGGTTTGAAATGAAAGAAATTGGGGACGACTGTTCCGGTCTGCATGAATGCTAACTCCTTAACAAAAACTTGTTTATTGTTTCCAAGTAAATATTAAAAAACTACTATAACGCTAGATTTTCGATCTACAGTGTTCATGATTGCTTGAGATTTTTTTTATCAACTGAGGCTATGACTACATTAAGTTTCCCCTTTATATAGCGGTCTGATCGGTACAAATGAGTAGTCTAGAAAGACGGCTCAACCATAATGGACACTTACCAAGATACAAAAAATAAAAAACCCCGAAAAAATCAGGATCATGAAGTTATATTCGGATTCGAATATTATGTAGTACATAATTTAAAAATAAAATGTGGATTGTCAACATCACGAAAATTTTCACCAATGGTCTGGATGCAGCAAAGTAAAAATAATTTCGTGGGATTTGAAAAAGATCAATGGATGCAGCTCATCACATACAAGGAATATATTTAAAAAAAAATTTATTAATAAGATTTTTTGTTGCCTGATTCAATTATTGATCAGCCAACTATGTCTACTATAAAATGTAATTTTAGGTTTCGAAAATCCGATAAGCAGTATGTAATGATAATAAACCAGTATGGTAACAAAATTGAATTTGATAGTTTACTACATTTTTATGTTGGAACTCAATATTAAGTCAACAAGTGTAATGGTCGGCCAAATTCATAAGTCTCCAAAAATTTAAACTGATAACTAACCCGAAATACGATATTCGAAAACACCTCCCAGCCCTAACCGATACTTAGATAATAGCCATCAGCTGGTCCAGTTTGACAGATCGGTGTCATCTCAAAATATCGCAAAACTAAGTTTCCAAGTTCAGGCGAGGCCCTTATAGTTTCTTTTCCGTTTCAAATCCTCATATGAGCAGACGTACAAATTGGATAAGATAACATATTGTTTCCTTTGGGCATATGGTATCCACGTGCCAGTTATTTTGATCACACCTTAACCAAAGACATCCGCTGCCAAAGCCAGTTAATTTGCCAATTGAACTTCGTTCTCATGTTTGCTGGAATCGTTACGGTAAATATTTAATTGCTGGCGTTGCAATCGCACAGATTTAAAATTTACTTCCATTCCGCACAGATTGCTGCCTTTCACGGCTAAATAGGGTCTGGCTACGCCGCCTAGTTGTGTATTGAGTAAATCAAAAGTCAATATTAGCTGCTCAAAAAGTTACATAACTTCATCCAAAGGTCACGAGGTAAATTATAATAACTCAGCCCAGATCGAAATCTTGGTTTTTCCTAACACGCCGTTTTGTTACAGTTGTCCGATCTCCAGTAGAATAGGAGTACATAAGCCTGCAAACATCGTCGTCAAAAAAGGCTGGACTTTACGGCCAGTGTCTAAGACAAAACATAACGGCACATCTCTACCCTACCCCTCACCCCTGCTCCGCCTACCGTCGCGGTACAGTTGTGCTAGTGGACAAATATAGCACCCCCAGCTTCAACGAGGGGTAGTGGTACGAACCGCCGACATCTGACGAACTACATAATCCCGGCCTAGACCAGCTTTCCGGCATAGACCAGCTTTCCCGGCTTAGACTAGTTTACCAGCTTTTCTAAAACAAAAACCAGAAATTGTGCTCTTCGTTTAGCTAAATAGATGTAGCTCTCTAAAAGTATTGTTTTTATATACATAAGTGTAGAATCGCCGATCGTTAAAATCTAATGTCGCGCTTTGTAAACGCCAGTTAATTGTTTAAGTAATTGCTAGTCGCCACAACACACTACACTAGTTGGGTGTATACAAAAGTGCGGATATAACTATCAAAACCGCGGAAGAAATTTAATTACAACAACCAAAAGAAAGAAGACCCCATGCAGAACTAATATTTTATTACGTAACATAACTATTATCCCCCCAAACGCATGGGCTTAAACCGCTCTTAGCCCAGTTCATCGTGAAGGCCTTCGACGAGGATTGGAAAGGGGTAAGTGCATCCCAACATAATGTAATATTCTAAAATCTTAGTTCTGTCTGCCTATACCCGGTCTATATATGGCCGTGGAGAAGCAGTAATTTTGCATGTTTTGTTTTGATTATCACTTCCAACCTAGGAGGCATATGTTAAAACAAATATGTGCGATAAGTGAATTGTTGTGAGCTCTAATATTACAAGTTCTTTCTTTGCATTTTGTATATTTTCTACCCTTTTCAGCTAGTGTGAGTGTTGTTATGCGCGAGTAGGAATAATTTTCATTAAATAAATATAAACATAAGTATAGCTAGTTTACGGTTCAGTTAAAAATCATGAAAAAACCCGACCAAATTAAAAATTAAACCAATGAATTATTGTACATCGAAATAAATATGAACGCTTCCTTTAAAGAACGATTATAAAACCTAGACAAGTTAAAGTTAAAAACAAAAATAATAAAATAAACCCTAATGAAGTTTAATCCGGAAGCTACTGTTAGTCCGTTTTGTTTCCCTTACTGGATATATTGAAGTAATAAAAATTTTGTAACCATGTTTAAAGAAAACATTATGAGTGAGTAGAGAACTTATTTCGCGACCTGGGAATGTGAATATTGTGATTGATAAAATATGGGGTCTTGCCGGAACAATATTAAAATTGGCAAAGACATTGGCAGGGAGGGTAACGATTTCGTGTGAGTCAATTTCCATCTAAGACTTCACCGATCGTTCTGGTTTACTTGCCTTATTCCTCTCAATTATTTGGATTAAATGTGACTGATTGTTGTGTTGCCTCGATCCCCGGCACAGACAACATTTGTGAATGATTTCGGCCATGATCGTGTGGTTATTTAGTTTCAGTTAGGGACTCTAAAAATATTCTTAATGTAGTGTTAGTCAGTAGGGTCAGCAACTAACCCCCCAATCCCGTAAGAGCTAGTATTGACATGGGTCCCGACCCGCTGAGTTTCCTACTGTCTGATTTAGTTGAAATCGACTTAGAGTAATCAATTTATTCAAAGTTTACTAAACCATTACATAAGTTTTGGCGCCCAACGTGGGGCAACGATACATTGTTTTTTTTGTTAAGAAACAGTTTATTTAATCCCAAATTTCTAGTGAAAAAAAAAAAAAAAATAAAAAATAAAATAACATAAATCGGAACGGATTTCTTTTATTTAGGATATCGAATTTTATAGCGTGATTTGAAAATATCGACCAATTAGAAGACAACGGTTAAGTTTTGTGTAAACTATATAACATCTGTATAACATCACTAGATCTAACAGCTCATTTGCGTTCGTATGACATTCATTTATATTTACTTATAGATAACAAGGTTTCTGCATTTAATAATTGTCTGGATATCGTAAGTTCAAGAAACTGGACCAAAATAAAAGCGACCGATAGTATTATATGATAGGACAGTTAACTGTATTAGATATATGAGTTGTCATCAGTTTTATGAGGAAAATGTCAAGTAAGAGGTAGACTATTTGCAGACTTCGGCTGGACTGGAATACAATCAGCATGTGAATGTGTGCATTGTCCGTTCATACAAACCAGCAAATCGTTTACCGACGAAAACATTTATAATCATAAATAGATTCAATAGCCAGAAAAACTTATAAAAGCAATAGTAATAAAAATAAACAAAACTAAAAATTTCTAAACGGAATGAGGAATGTTATAACCAGTAAAGGCAAAGGTCAGAATATTCACAGTCCCAAATAGGTCAGCGAAAATAAATAAATTTAAAAATAAAATAAATAAAACATATCATTAAAACTTAAACTAAAATGCCAGTCGAACATACTCCACAAAAAAACATGGCACCGGCAACTAAGCAGAATGTATGCTTAATTTGCGAGGACACAATGATTGACACTCAGCCGTGCGGCATAACTACATGCAAGCATATATTTCATAAAAGCTGTCTTGATATTAGATTTCATCCCGATAAGGAGAATGAATGTCCAGTTTGTATGACAAAGGTCTTGTTACATGATGTGAAAGTAGTGGTTGGAAATTTTTCCCCGGAAAAGATAACGGATAGAAACGAAGGTCAAAACAGACGCCCAAATACGAGATCGATGGATAGGCAACTCGAACTAGGAGAGGCATCAGCAGAGATACAGGCGGTTCAGCCGCAGCAATTTCTAATTCCGCCTGAAAGTAATAGAGGAACCAGGGGTAGAGGTGCATATTCGCGAAGAGGTGGACGACGTGGTAAACAGGCTCGAACACCTAACCGTAGTGAAGAAAATCTAAATGACGACAATTGGTCGCAACCTGATATCGAAGCGCTAGTTCGAGAGACAGTTAGGCAAATGATGTTATCTTCTTATGTTAGACCCGCTATAAGTGCACAAGAAAATCAACAGCAAGGGCGACAGGATTATGTTAGTCCGAACGGAAACCGTTCGAGATCGCAAACTGCGTCCCTGTTCGCTGCTAATAAAGTGGCTGATATTATTCAGAAATGGGGAGTAAGATTTGACGGGAGTCCAGAAGGATTGTCGGTTGAAGAATTTTTATATCGAGTGCAAGTCTTGACTCGAGAGCATTTGGAAAATGATTGGGAAGCATTAGGTCGAAATATTCACCAGTTGTTAGTGGGAAAAGCAAGCGCCTGGTTCTGGCGATTTCATAAACGAGAAGAATCTTTTGATTGGGAACAGTTTTGTCGAGCGTTTCGAGCCCAGTACAGAGAAAGTCGCTCTACAACAGAGCTACGCGAGCAAATACGAGCGCGCAAACAAAAACTTGGTGAATCATTTGATACCTTTTATGAATCCATTTGTAAACTTATAGACAAACTCTCGGTTTATTTTGATGAAAAAGAATTAATTGAATTAGTTCAGGGAAATTTACTACCGGATATGAAAGACAGATTACTCTTTGAAGAAATACGTTCCATCAGTCAGCTGCGTCGATTGGTTCAAAAGAGAGAGAACTTTTTGCAGGATGCAGGGAAAACTTTTCGAATCCCTGGAAGGCCCAAAGATATATCTGGTCGTGTGTATGCGGTAGACGAGCATCAGCTCGAAGAAAACGAAACCGAAAACATGGCAAATGATATAGCTGCTGTGGAACGAACTCCTTCCAAAATTGTTTGCTATAATTGCGATGCCACCGGTCATGTATGGAAAGATTGTTTAGCAGAACGTCGCGTATTTTGTTACGGGTGCGGCAAGCCCCAAGTATACAAACCAAACTGTTTAAATTGTAAGAACCGTTCGGAAAACCGAAAAGCGGGGGCATTCACAAGCCATCGGGTGTCCCAGTCGTAGAAGAGCAGGTCCAGCAAATAGCAGAAAAACAGAAAACGCAGACTAGTGTAAAAATAGAAACAGATATTGAAAGAAATGATTCCTTACCTACTATATTAAGGCGTACAAAATTGAATGAAGTTTCCAGTGACGTCCAAACCGCGTTTCGGCCATATGAAGAACGGCTTAGAAACTATTATTTAGTAAGAGATCGGATATTTTTTGAAAAGACCCAGCCCCAAAAGAGGAACACCAGAAGATTAAAAAATTATTACTTGAATTTAAGAAATAGGCAAAAGAATATAGTATCTACAATATTCCAGAATAGCTTAGATAGAAGAAGTTATGCAAATGTTTCCTTTTTAAATGTTACAGAGTGGGGATTGCTTGACACAGGAGCAAATATTAGCTGTATAGGGTCCGAGTTAGCATTGCAGGATTTTAGTAGTTGTTCTGGTTACAAAGCCATCGTATCCAACGTTAAAACTGCAGATGCTAAGCCACATAAGGTAACAGGAATTTTGAAAATAATTATGACATATAAAGAAAAAGCTAAGGAGATGGAACTTTATGTAATTCCAACAATTGCGCAGAGACTTATCTTAGGAATTGATTTTTGGCGGACTTTCGAATTAGCACCAAAAATAGTTGGAGCAATCGAAAACCCACTAATCACAGAACTGGTCGAAGATTCTTATCCGCTAACGGAGACTCAACTGCAGCAACTGGAAGCAGTAAAAGAATTGTTCCCAAACTTTGCAAAACAGGGTTTAGGCCGAACATCGTTAATAAAACATCATATAGACGTAGGAAACACCTTTCCAGTGAAACAGAGACACTATCCCGTTAGCCCGGCCGTGGAAAAGGTTCTTTATGCTGAAATTGATCGCATGTTGGAGCTTGGGGTGATAGAGCCATCAAACAGCTCGTGGAGCTCACCAATTCGGATGGTTATCAAACCGAATAAGGTCCGCCTTTGTTTGGATGCGCGAAAGTTAAATGACGCGACCAAAAAAGATGCGTATCCGTTACAGAGCATAGATGGAATTTTCTCTCGTCTTCCTAAGGCCAACATTATAAGTAAATTGGACCTCAAGGATGCCTATTGGCAGATTCAGTTATCGGAAGAAGCAAAACCACTGACGGCTTTTACGGTGCCGGGACGAGCTTTATTTCAATTCGTTGTTATGCCTTTCGGCTTATGCAACGCCCCATCCACTATGTGTCGTCTCATGGATGATTTGATTCCTCCAGATCTACGCCACTGTGTGTTTGGATATTTGGATGATTTGTGTATTGTGACGGAAGACTTTCAATCCCATTTGTCTG